TTAGGCTAGCAAATGCCTTTTCAGTAGAGTGATCAGTATGCATATCAAGCCTTTGTTCATAACCCTTCAGAGAAGCAACCACTTCTTGAATTTCAAGTGTTTCAATATCCTTTGAGTGTTCAATCACAGCACAGATAGAGTCATAACTTCTAGGCAAGCTTATAAGTAATTTTTGAACAACCCTCTCCCTAGATAGTTCTTCATCATAACTCCTCATTTGATTCATGATGTCAAACAGTTTAGTAAGGTATGCAAACAAAGATTCATCATCTCTCATCCTAGTATACTCGAACTCTCTGCGTAAACCTTGTAATTTCACATTTCTAACCTGTTTATCACCTCTGAATTCTTGCTGTAGAATATCCCAAGCTCCTTTGGAGGTTTCTTCATTAGAAATCCTGGGAAAAATTTGATCAGACACAGCTCCTTGAATCAACCTAAGGGCCTTAGCATCCTTCATTATGATCTCCGCAACATTTGTTGAAATTTGAGTAGCTGCATCCTTCTCCTTCTTTTCATCAGTTACCTCAACCACAGTAGATGATTCTGGGATAGTAAACCCAGTCTCTACAAGATCCCAGAGTCCATGAGACCTGAGAATGGTTCGCATTCTGATATTCCAGAATTCATAGTTCTCACCATTGAAAATGGGAGTACGAAGTTCATAACTCATTGATCTGGCCATGTTAGACACAGATCTTCGTTTTAAGAAACTCGATTCTTCAGCGATTCACTGAAGAACCCAGAAAACACAGATTCACGCCCAGATTAAAGCGATGAACTAGCCTCTAAGGCCATGATAGAGTTCTAGAAAACAACAAAGCAGAGCACAGAACTAAGAAGAATTCAACAAGATTTTGATTTCAACCAAGAATTCACACGAAAATGTTGATGCAGAGAAGATGAAGAGCTCTGTGAAAAATTCTGATTTCATTCAGCTATGACTGAAATGATTAAGAAGCTACAAACTAGAGTGGGGAGGAGATATAGCCGTTTGAGGCGCACTACCTCTCTCATTACACCACAGCTCACGTGAATCCCACATGCTCACATATAAGTGAGATGTTATACCATGAGACACACATACATATAGCCTATTAGCTTTGATTTAATCTCACCCTTACATTTCAAAAACTAAGACAAAAGAGACTTTGAATTACAGAAAGACAAAATGCAACAAAACACAAAGCAGCTGCAAGGCTTAAACATTAACAGTTTATTGGAAGGTGAGTAGAGCTCTGGCTTGGGTGTTCGCACCACCTCCGTCCTCGTCTTTGCCTTTATTGGCTCTGTCTCTGGTGGGTTGTGTTTTCCCATTGAATTCCTTGGTTTTGTGGGAGTGGCTTTTGTGGTGTTGATTGCAAGGCACTGGAGCAATGGTTTCCTTCCTTTCAGGGGTTTGGTTGGTTGGTTGGTTCGATGGGTGGCTAGTGATGGTGACTTAGGAGATTTCCGGCGACGGCGGGGATTGCACGGTTCTAAGGTGTGCTGGATGTGTCTGTGTTTGTATTGGGCCCCACTTGTACTTGTTTTGGGCTCTTTTGTATGTGTTTTTTTGAGGTCCAATGTTTTGTTTTGAACTTATGTAGTTAGTGAACCTTTTTGTATCTTTAATTGGCCTTTGATCTTGAAATAAAATGTCTAGTTTTTCCAAAAAAATAAAAATAAAAAAAAAATGAAAAATGAAATTAACATAGAATTGGGAGGGGGTGTCTGTGAGTCTAAATACGAAAGCAAAGTTCTAAAAGATGTTAGGCACTAGTCGAGTGGCGAGTTGGGCCTAGTGCCTAAGCAACTAGGCAGGGCCTAAACTAATTAGGCGGATTAAGTAAACTTATTATATACTGTATAAATAAGTGCCTATTTATAATTAAAAAAACACATGATTATATACATAAAGTGAAAAATAAAATGACACATTATAGGAGTATGATATCCACACCTCTTTTTACTTTTTACGCACCCTTCTAACTTTCGACCGTTGAATCAGATGAATTGAAGAAGATCAAATGACAGAATTTAACAAGGGGTGTGTGAGAAGTAAGTATTAGAACATATTGAAAACATGGGAACAAGCATATAATGAATTGAAAAAATTAAATGCAAAATGAAAGTTATCAATTTTCTGTCTATATGAGAGTCGTGACCTAGGCAAGTTTATGCCCAAGCGCACTTTCTTAATTTTCAAATGCATAGGGATTAACTGGAGTAGTGGCCAGCTTCGTAGCGTCTAGGTGGCACTTGGCGGTTTAGAACAGTGAGGAAAATTTGTTGGTTGCTACGATAATTGTACTGCTTTATTATTTTACAGAATAAGCATAGCACAGGTAGCATTTACATATGGCAGGCACAATAAGCTAGAGAGGATAAATCAACGCAACGCTAGTCATTAGAATAGACAAATATCGCCTTCCCAAGCGTAGTAAACGACGGTGTTTCAACGAACACAATGACAGCTCCAGCTCAAGTTATTAAAAATCAAGGAGAAAAAGTAGTTAAAGTGGTTCGACCAAAACCATCAACACAACTCAAATCTTGGTTTCGTTGTAACTCTGGGATTACCAAACACCTTAGCCAACTGGGATTTGAAGGGAGAATTTAAAACCTAAACACTAATTCCTTGAGGCACAAGTTGCTTCTGTACTCTCTGAAAACCATCACCTCTGAAATGGGGGTGTATTGGTTTTTATTCCTGAGCTCCTTCAACTAGTTTAAAGCAATGTTTCTGTTATATTTCTTTGGAACGGATGCCGATCTAGTTTATTTTCCTGAGGGATCACTCAACCAGTTCATTCCATAACCCCAAATCCCAACCGGAATACATTTAACAGCCCCCGGCACATCCTCGAGACCGTGTCAAAGATGCTGCTTCATCGAAGGGACTTTAGTGTTTGAATTTTGTAACTAAAGATTTATGTAATTAACCTTGTATTATCAGTTAGTTTTTTGATTCAATCTCAAGCTCTTCCTTGTAACTCTATATATATCAATAATACAGAAGGAAAAGGCATCCAGCCAAATTACATCAAATATCAGTTTATATCTTGGTGTCATCCTCTCTTGTCCCACGACAAGATCTTTTCTCCCCCTTGGTTTAACCACTGCTGCTGCAAACACCATTTCTCACCCCTAACGTTGCCAACTTTCTCACTACATAGTTGGAGGCAACTGTGTTTTCACACAGCGGGCCAACATTATTCATGATTGTGGCCACAATCACATAGTAGATAAGCTTCTCATTCGCAACACGGCAACGAATTTCAGGAATTCCAGGGGATGAAAACCACTCAATTGGCCACACAAATTCTGCATCATCATGGTTTCCAAATACACTGGCACAAGGATTGCCCCTGGCTATTCTTGGTGAAGTTGCCTGATCCCGGTACAAGCTTGCATTTTCAAACCATATATTATTGGCTGTGATGACATCTCCGAGATAGATAACGAAATCTGCAATTTACGTTTCATTCCTTAGATTCTATAACGACACAGCAACGGGATGCTGGCAGGTCTACAGGCTAGGTTACGTAATAATATCAAACTCTTAGCAGCTCCAACACAACCAGAAATGTGAAACATAAAAAGAGAACATACATTTGGTTCAAAGAAAAGGAAAACAACACACCAAGATCTTGTATAGTATACAATTTGATGATACGTATTATCAAATTCAACTTTAGGAGACCAGAAAACGCCAGCCTTTCGCATGTTGATTAAAATTAACAATCTAATGAACGCCCATTCTGTAAGTTGGTTTAAACAAAGCGCTTAAAAGTGAATTAAACAAGTTAAGAGTGATAAATGCATGGCCTATCTTCACGTTCCAAAACCTAGGCCGAGATTAGGCGAGTTTTTAACATTAGCACTGTGTTCCTTGACATACTCTACTAACAACAGAGCACCACCAACACACACCCACACCCACAAGTGTCGGGATTTTGATTTCTTTTGGCGTACAACTGCATATGCGTGTTGGTTGTATGATTACGTGCCTCGTGTGTTTCTCGTTGGGACAGTGTCGATGTTATATCTGTTGGCGAGTGCAGACCTTTGTGCCTACTGCATGCTATACTACAAGAACAGAGTGAAAATGTAACTTGCAAGAATCCGGCTGTGCCTGAAACGGGATTATGCTTGTTTTGCAGTGCATGTTTGTCTTGATTCCTCAGGAGAACAACTATCAAACTCAGGATACGATGAATCTCTGTATATACAACTTCGTGGTCATATTTCGAGTTGGTCAGTTGTACATGCAACTTTGCATCTGACCCCTCTCAGGGTGGTACATTATTTGTTCCCCAACAGATGCAGTTTACTGTACAAATTGTTGATAAATGAACCTTCCTGAAGAAGTGCTGGTTTTTCCTACAACTTCGGTGCTTTTACTTGACACAATTATTGAACCACTGAATCATAAAAATTGACAAACCGCAAGAACCGGAGATGCTAGACGAGCTTGAAAATATTGACCGGGCTACATTTGAGTTGGATTTTTAACATCAAGCTGGGATTATACCTTCTACTCCAAGTCAATCCCTACAATTACCCTAAGCCAAAGCCAATCCTATGCAGCAAACGTGCCCATAGGAGTTTGTTGGTATTTTTGCTAGTCCTTAATTCTTATTATTTTTCTCATTGGATTTCATTCGAACCCTTTTGTTTCGTCATGCTGTAACAGAGACACGAATAATATACTATATTATTATTTATTATATAAATAATTATCATAAAAAATCTATAATTTAATATATTTATAAATGCAAATGCAGTAAACCCATAGTAGGCTAATTAGTGGGCTAATTCATGAATTGAATCAAATGAACCTTTTTAACCAAGCGGTAGAGTCACACTCTTTAGACACCCTAAGAAATAGGCATAAGTCATCGGTTCCAATCATATCCGAAAAATGAGAAATCGGTCTTTTTTTCCAAATTGTCAAAAAATTATTGCCCTAATCCCAATTTGCTATTATATATTGAGTAGCATAGTATGTTAAACAACGTAAGATCCGACCTGTCACTTTGAATAATTGTAATTGGGTGAACTCAGAACCTCCAGTTACAAAAATACTATTATTTCTAGGATTAACAAAACCAAACCTAGAGGTTAGTAGATACTCCATCACGGTTTGCACAAGAAATGTAGTTTCTTGTCAAACGGTTTGTACCTTCAACGTTGGATACAGCTTTGTTCTCTTAACAGGATGCAGAAATGGTAGCTGTACTCTAAAATTTCATTCTTTTAGCTGGGCCTTGATCAATGATGGGATCTATCTGCAGGTTTTGTGTCTCTCCAGCTTCTTGGGTTTCAGTGCCGTTCTCTGCTTCTGCAGTTGGGGCGGGAACATAGCCTTCTGGAAATGGTGGCGGTGGTGGGGCTGGTTCTAGCTGCATAAACAGTATGATAATAAGGACCTACTCCTAGTAATACAGTTGTGATCAGTTAATAATTACAAACTTCCCAGAATATCCTCCAGTATGTTAGCTAACATTCTTACCCAGAATTGCAAGGCAATAATTCACTTCAAATAGGTGCATGGGAAAATATATGTTTCAGTTCTATCATAGTTACCTTGCGCTGTAAGGATTGAAGAATAAGGTCCACTCGCTTTACTTCCTTGAAGTCAATTGTCTCTTTGGTAACCTTTGATTCGAAGGCTGCAGCCTCATTTTCTGAATCAACTGCATCACAAAATTTAGAAACAATGAACATTAAACTCATGGTGACACTACAAAAACAAGAAGTTAATACAGAAATGGGACAAGCAGCGACGAGCCTTCTCATATTTTAAATATACACCATGCTTAAGGTTCTAGCATTACATACATGATACACCTACCATCCTTTTATAGGCATGATACTACATGTCACCATGTTTAAACAAGCATGATTTCAAGAGTTCAACCAAGATAATTTTGTGATCAGAGAGCAGTATGATTCTTGCATAGTAGCACACATGTGAACCAAATCCAAGTTATCCAATGATTCTTGGATTGGATTGGCCAAGTTGTTACAAGGATTTGATTGGACATTGGCCTTTTGATCTTTCAACTCCAAAAGGTCGGTTTGATTGGAATTGCTTCAAATCTGACCTGAACCACCCATGTACACCCGTAACGTCCAAGTTTGTCATGCTCATCAACGTAAATATCTCATGAAATAAAAGAAAAATGATGCTGTAACAGACAAATAAATTGACATCCAAAATACTGATTCGTAGATCTTGACAGAATGGTTGAACAGCAAGAGGTGGTTGCATGATTTAGCATGCCGTCAAACCCTATTCCACCTCTTTTTTTTTTTTTTCAAAACTGGACAAATAAAGCTTTGATTTTGATTTTGAATTTTTCTGTCTTGCATGACATCTTCACATATACAACCGTGATGATCGGAAAAGAGAAAAGTGTAGTGATTGGATCGTGATTGAACTTGCCTAGCCCAATTACTCCCAAATCCCTATAGCCACGTCAAAACAAATGTAAACTGGGGAAACATCGGAGTTTGGGATATATCATGGTTCTGCAAAGCATTAGAGTTTTCATCTTTCAAGTTTTTGATGTGATGTAAATATCAATATAACTGATATGAGCAGAGCATTCCTATATAACTTGTATGGAGCACCAACAAAAATAAGTAACTATCACTGTAACAGCAAGGAAACTGTTGACAACCTTCCCACTAGCTGATTTATTAACATTTGTTTAAGATCATACTTATATAATCAAGATATTGGACAAAGTACAAGGAAATCAATATACCGTATCCAATCTTCTCCAGCTTTGAGGCAGCAGTCGTAAAAGCCTTAGATATATAATGGAGAGCACGTCCCTGCAACATGAGTAGGCAAACAATCAGAATGAAATAAAGATCCCTATTAATTCCACGACTTAGGAACACATCACATGATTGTACTGCTCTCCAATCAGAATAAAATTAAGCATAAATTTGAAATTACTTTAAGGCTTGAAGCTACTAGTTCTTTTATAATTATAATGTGGCAAACTCCATTCAGATAAGTCCTAATTCGTTCAAACAAACCCAAAGAAGAAACTTACAATTCGAGCGGCAAAAACATTGCACAGTTGTGGTGCTTGGTAAATTGTACCATCCAAGACATAATAAGTCAGCATCGGTGTAACTTTCTCCGGACCATCCCTCTTTTGCTTGCGGAAAACAAAAAGGTGCGGCTCCATAACTTCACTCAGCCAGTATTCAGTGCCCATCATTTTCCTATAAAACGGACACGTGACCATCATTAACTGTGCCAAAACTCCAAATCCCAACCATTTGGGGTCAATCAAAAGAACCATATGAACAATCTGCATTTCCCGTCTAGCGCAATGATGCCCACGAAAGTTACCAAAAGAAAATTTAGTCCCGTATAATATCTGTATCTAATCAAATTGATCCGAAAATTAACCACGAATCAGTCAGGTTTCATTAGTCCATACCAACCAAAAACAAAAAGCAAGTTGATTCTTCTTATAAAAAAAAATTCGAATGATTCTGCTTATAAAATTAAAATCCACATATTTTTAATGATTATTCCAAGCATACCAATACCATGAATTCATATTTCTTCAAATTCTCGCTTAATCAAAAGAAATTTCATTCAAAATTCAGAAACCCTAGCTAAGTAAATTCAGTGCAAAAAGCAAAAATCGAAGAACATTTCCAAAAATTGGGGAGCGGGTTTTACTTACACGAGTTGATCTCGGTCGAGGGGGTGAATGGAGCGTTGACGAAGCTGTTCATTGTTACAAGTCCAGTCGTAGAACGGAGAGATAGCGAAGTAATCGAAGACCAGATTGCGATCGAGAGGATACGAGTTCAACCATAGCTGGTCCTTGAAGCATATATCAGTCATGTCCGTACCCGGTGGCTGTGCTACCACGGGCGGCGGACCGCCTTCCATGTTCGGCGGCGCAACCGGTGGCGTCGCCATGAATTATCTTTTTTGTCACTGTGCAATGCTCAGCTCCTCTTTGGGCAACGGGCAAGCTGGCGGGGAAAAATAATGAATTACCTCACTGGTTAACAAAAATAATTGTTTTGTAACCGAATAAAAAATATATACGGGTACGATAATTAAGACAACCGGGCTCGTCACCAAGGAGAGTGAAAAAAAAAAAAAAAAAAAAAAAACATGTGCCTTATTGTGTCCAGATTTTTTTTTTCTTTCTTTTTTCTAGGATTTTTAGTAAAAATAGTCATTGAGATGTTATTTAGTATTACAGTTTAATAGTATTATTTTTCATTTGTAACTTGTAAGTGAAAAGTTTTAGATTCGATTCTCGGCAAAAGATAAATTTGAACCAAACTTTTTGCTGGCCTATTGTAAGTCTTAGCTCACTTCCTTACCCTTTTAGTGTAGTATCGTTTGCTCAAAAGGCCCAAAAAAAAAAAAATCTTTAAGATTGGCATAACTCTTCAATTTGGTCCTTGAAATTTGAAATTGGTAGAACTGGTTTCTAGGTTTGTCCACTATCGATCATTTTATTCATTATGTAAAAAATCTTGGTTAATTAAGAAAATAATAGCAAAAATATTCCCAATTTTTTATTTTAAATCTGAATAGACCAAATAAAAAATTATATCAATTTCAAAACCTATTTTAGTTAAAAGAAAAACAAAAACCTTTTTTATATCCCAAAATTTTGTTTTGCGTGATTTTTTTTGAGAAGGTTTTAATTGAAACCAATTGTAATTGGTTTCTGCTCTAATAGTTGTTTCGAAAAGGCATGCATCTATTTTCAAGTTAATTTTGAAGAAGCGCGTTTTATTTTTAATTTTGTTTGTTTTATTTTTACTTTTGGACCCAGATTCTCTTATGCAGTGTCTTTTTAAGATTTCTCTTTGGATAGCTCTTTAGCTATCCGTTGTATTATGGTGTTATTCTAATATAAAATAATGAGTAAGGTAGTAGTTATGTTTATGTATATATTTTGTAGGAATAATAGATGTTTTACTAGAAAAAAAACACGTAGGATAGTACAAGGGCACAAAAAAAAATGACAGTTCAAAACCCAACGTGAATATTGGGAATAAAAGTTGCATTTTACAAAATATATGTTGTGACACATCCCGACCAAAGTCGAGGCATTTTGGCCAACACTTGAAGGTGACGTAGCCAAAAGGAAAGTGAGATGCAAAAAAATACGGATAAATTTAAACCGAAACTAGAAATTATTTAAGCTAATAAAGAGAGTGCGCAGTAGTGGGAATAACCCATAATACATAAATAGTCAGAGTATAGATAATAGTACGACATAAGTAGAGCAGTCGAGTCTAGTGAAGATACTTATTACACAACTGGAAATAAACTCCTACATTTACTCACGAGAATGTAAGAATCGCCAAAGATCCCTTGTACACCACAGATGATTTAGCTAACTAAATTCTAGAAGGGCGAAAAACACAAAGTGTGAGTGGACAAAAACAAAGGTTTATGAAACACATTTATTTTCTAAACATACTAACCCCTCGCTGTAAAACATGTATAGTTTCCAAAAAATCATACTACGTATAAGTATGAAACCAAATGTAATCTATCAATAATTCCATAAACACAACAAATCATAATATCTCAACCGTGACATAAGAAATCAAGTGCTCATCAATCTATGTTAACACACGAGTTCATGAAGAGAAATTCTGACGTGAATAGGACTGAGTGTAATCATAATATACGCTTTAGTACTACAATCACATGAAGACTAGCGCTAAGTGCATCATATACGAGCCCTAGTTGCCTATTGCAACCTAGGACATGACTGGCATCTACAATGGATCCAAAGTGAGCGTGTGGTTCGATGTGAACATACACATGAAGTCTGGCCCTGGCCCGGGACGAGTACTACACCGGTGCAAGCATGCATGATGAGCATGTAAAATGTATATGAACATGGCATGACAATTTATAAATCTTAGCAATATAATAGCACTTTCAAAATGAAATAAAGCATGGCATGATAGACATAATATTAACTCCAAAAGAATTTGTGGAAACTATAAAACTATATATATATATATATAAACAAATGACCACTCACTAATGCGTAGTCGGATCGTAGCTTTCTAGCCTTACTTGACCTCGTACCTCCTCAGGATAATTCTCTCCTATATGTGAAACAACTATAGTAATTAATTAATTAATACATACATGAAAATGCTAGGAAAATCCCCATAGTTTGCTTAAACGAAGGGTTTAAGTATATGAAAACATTCTACGTGATGTTACGGACCCATACACGCTAACCATGCACCGCCACGAAGCAGCATGTGCCTCCATGCGCTTCTAGCTTGCGGCCACGTGGCTACACGTGCTGGCAGAAACATTAAGGAATATTCCGTTAACTCTAATGGCATACCTTAACGGTGTTAGTAATGGCGTGAGAATATTCCGTCAACTTTAATGGAATATTCTCCTTCTTCCTTATTTCTCTGGTTGTCGTCGTCGCCTGGTTCGCCGGAATCTGGAAAAGTTGGCTGGATTTTTTTGTAAAAACTTTGAAACTTCACAACATTCTCATTTCTCAACCATTTTTGACGTACTTGATATGGAAATGAAGCTTGGGAAGAGAAGAACAAGTTTGTACCTTTTGAAAATCTAAAAAGTGGATGAAAATGGACTGAAAATGGCTTGAAAGTCTTGGCCCTAATTCCAACGTCCCAAAACCACGTCTCTACACGTTGGCTTGACTTCAAACTTAGGCTAGGGACCTCAAGGAGTTGTGTAGTTGCTTCTAAACCTTCCAAAACCTTGTAACTCGAACAGAAAGTCGCTGGAGAACCATGATCCAAGTCGGAGCTCTGAGTTGGGAACTTAAAACTCGTTCGTTTTCGAATTAGCTCGTATGGATGAACTTGTGGGGATGAGAGGAATACGACGGTGGTGGTTTAAAGTCCGATCTATGATGTTTGATGATGATCTTTGTTGTTGGAGAGAGAAGAGAGGTACAGTGAGAGAAAGAGAAAGAGAAGAAGAAGAAGAAGAGAGAGGGAGAGTTTCTGATTGTACAAGAGAGAGTATCTAATTGGTGAGAGAAATGGGAAGAAAATTGATTGGTTGGTGAGATAAGGTCACCAATAAAGGATCGGCTTTTAAAGTGGGAAGGGTTCAAATTTTGTACAATTCCAAGTACAAAAATATCCAATTCACCCTATCTAAAACAATGTTCACCAACACTAAATAATTCACATGCACGTGTATAATTTTACCTTTTGTTAATGTATTTTAACTAAGCATAACTTCTTAGTTACAAATCCGATTTGGGTCTAGCTCACGCTCATACGTTCATAATAATGAGAATTATTTAATTACGATAATATGAAAAATAAATTAAATGCCAACCAACAACGTCCACGTCATATTCCATTTAACCAAAAAAGGTGTAATCATCATTTTACATACTCGGGAAGGAAATTACATGAAAATTAGGGACGGGTCGTCACATGTTGTCTGGTGTATCCCACGGAGAACAAAAAAAAAATGGCGTCTATAGAAAAATCTTAGCAAACAAAACCACATTGAAAAAAAACATCAGGATAGGAAAAAGTGTGTAACATAAGACACCAATTGAAAATAGAAAAAAGTCAAAACTTTATCCATAAGCGATGCACAACTCTACGTATCATTAGCAGAATCAACATTGTTCCACTTTAGTTATGTATATTTTCAAAAATGGAGGTGCAATCTTTAAAATTGTGAATCGTGAATTTAAATACCAAATATCCTCTCAATGACATTGCTTAAGAAAGCTTGAAGAAAATCGAACTCTTTTCAATTCTAGGCTCACGACCCGAACCACTTTACTCTTGGAGATGATATCGGATTCCTCGATAAGGAGCTAAGGACTGATGTCTATTTGGAAATCCACAATCTATTATGAAAAATTTACCTGATAATATATTTTAGTATGCAACTAAATGGATTAATGAAAAATTTAAAATAATAATAATAATAAGAATGATAGTAATAAATAATAATTTGATACCTTGTGGCACTTCAAGTCCATTCTTCCTTGTCAAAGCATCATTTAGTATTCGTGAATCATGAGCCGATCCTTCCCACCCACTAAGAACGTACATGAATTCCAAATCAAAGTTACAAGCGGTTAATACATTTTGTGATATGACACTCTTGTGATTACGATAACTGCTTATGTTGCATCCGGACACTGATGCTGAGATATGGGTGCCATCAATAGCTCCAATGAAGAGTGTTAAGTTTATCTTATTATAATGATACAAAATAAAAAAAATAAAAAGAACTACACACTATACGTACCTTCAAGTAAGGGTAAAACGTCTTACTTTCCCTTATTTTAGATGGCACTGCTCATCCATGTTTGACCATCATCTCCGGTGCTGTTGTGTTCAAGGTTTTCAGAAATTTGTTAAAATTTCTACTGATAGTCTAATGTGATCGGCCAAACGTATCACGTAGAAGACAATATCTACTATTCTGTCCGACAATGAGCAAAAATGTTGCCGACATTTCTTCTATGCAAATGAATCTTGTATCTCTTAAAATTGTTTTTTCTCTAATAATAGTCCATAACTTCATAAACAAATCATGATGCTATACCTCTGCCAGAAATTCTCTGGGCGGTCCTTTTTCAATACTTTATGTATATAATTGTATCATTTCGTAGTAATTGATTGTCGATTTAAAGGATGTTCAATGGACTGTCCACTGATGATTATAAACTTTTTTAGCACGTGGACTACGGCTTGAATTGCCATCAATAAATACTTAATGGTATCATAATGCTTTTCTTCCTAAGTTTCTTCTTCATCTTCTTCTTCAATTTGTTCTTCCACCATTGCTCTACTTCCATTTCTTCCTCCTCTTCGTCCACTTCCATTTCTTCCCCATCTTCTTCGGTTTCCATGCTTGTTTAAGACAGTTTATATATGCTTGATTGAGACATTATATAAACTAACCAATCAAATAAA